GGGGCCCCGAGAGGGCCCAAGACGGTCCCACGAGGCCCCGAAGACGCCCGAGATGCCTTCAAGACAGCCGACGAGGACTCCAACACGCTTCAGGACGGACTCAAGAGGTTCCCCAAGAGGGCCCTGGAAGGCAAGATTCGCTTGTTTTCCGAGTGTATTTGATTTTGGCGTTCTCGCTTTTCCAGCTTTCCAGCGCTCCCTCACGGCCTCGGAGGCCCTTCAGATCGCTCCAAGAAGGCCCACGAGGCCCCGACGAGGGCCCCAAGACGGCCCAGGATGCTCCCCATACAACCCAAGTGTGCCCCAAGAGCGCGCCAAGAGAAGGCCCAGAGGGGTCCCGAGGCGGCCCGGGCCCGCCCCGAAGCAGGCCACGACAGGCTCATGGAGGTCCCGAGAGGGCCCTAGAAGGTCCCAAGAGGCCCCGAAGACGCCCAAGATGCCCTCAAGACGGCCGACGAGAACTCCAACACGCTCCAGGACGGACTCAAGAGGCTCCCCAAGAGGGCCCTGGGAGGCAAGATTCACTAATTTTCCAATGGTTTTTGAAGGATTTAGGCGTTCTCGCTTCCCCCGCTTCCCAGCGCTCCCTCACGGCCTCGCTCGGAGGCCCTTCAGATCGCTCCAAGACGGGCCACGAGGCCCGGACGAGGGCCCCACAGGAGGCTCCCCAGACAACCCAACTGTGCCCCAAGAGCTCCCCAAGAGAGGGCCCAGAGGGGGACCGCCAATTGATATCCCTAGAGGCCGTCTGTAGGCCCCCGGAGGCCACCAAGAGGCTCCCACGAAGCCCCGTGAGGCGCCCAAGAAGCCCCGTGAGGCGCCCAAGAGGCCCCCAGGAAGCCCTAAGAGACCCCCAAGGGGCTCCCAGGGAACGCCCAAGAGGCCCCCCAACACACCCCAAGAAATCATGTCCCCAGAAAACCTTCCGGGGACATGGTTCATCATCGGCCCGAGAGTTCCCAGAGGCCCCCAGAGGGCCCCCAGGGAACGCCCAAGAGGCCCCCCAACACACCCCAACAAACCACGTCCCCAGAAAGCCTTCCGGGGACATGGTTCATAATGGGCCCGCGAGTCTCCGGAGGCCTTGAAGTACCATCATGCTACAGGAGAGGTGTTTGGGAAGATGTTTGGGAACATGACTGATCGCCTTCTCGCGGCCCTCCGCTGATCGTTTCGCACAAAGTTGCCCCAAGTGCCTTCTTGAAACGACGACGACGACGACGACGACGACGACGACGACGACGACGACGATGGCGCGCCCCAATAGGCGACGACGACAACGACGACGGCACGCCCGAACAGGCTCCCCAAGACGCCCCCAAACTCATGGTCCCAGAAGGCCTTCTGGGAATCCGATTCATACGGCCTCCGCCCCCCTACACAACCATTCTCCTCGAAGGCCTTTCGGAAAGCAGATTGGCATGCGTGGACTGTGGTCCGCTTCTTCAATGGAGCAATGAACTCGCCAAGGTCTGGGGCCTGCTAGAACCTGAGCGCGCGCGAAGCGCGCGCGATGGTTCTAGTGTGTACAAGTGGCACGTGTGTGCCCAGGCTCATACAACAAAAACTGAAAGGGCGTTTGAAGCAGGAAGACACCATGAGTGCAGGATCGGAGATGGAGAAAGGGATGCTGGGGCGGCGCCGCCAGGGCGTGCCTAAGAGAAGGGGAAGAGGTAGGAGGTGAACGTAGAATAATCTAAGATCGAGGTCGCACTCGAGCGCAAGTGGGGTTGCCACACCTTGCGATGTGTGTACCAGGGCCCCCCAGAAAACCTCAGGAGGCCCGACTTGGATAACGGTAGAGGCTCTAGGAGGCCCCGGGACTGTGAGTGTTGTGTGTGTGTGTGATGTGTGTTCTGTGTTGTGCGTGTTTTCTTTGCGTTGTAGGTGTTGTGTGTGTGTTATGTTTGTCTAGCGTGTGTTGTGTTGGGCGTGATTTGTGTCTCTGTGTGTGCATGTAGTTCTGAGGCCCCAGGAGGCCCCAGGCGGCCTCAGGAGGCCCCAGAAGACCCCAGGAGGCTCCAGGAGGCCCCAAGAGACTCCAGGAGGCCCCAGGAGGCCCCAGGAGGTTCCAGGAGACCCCCGGGAGGCTCCGAGGCGGGGTCTGGGGTACCAGAAGGTTCAGAAAGTCCCAATTGGCCCCAGGAGGTTCCAGGAGGCTCCCAAGAGGCTCCGAAGCGAGGTCTGGGGTACCAGAAGGTACGTCGGGGCTCGATTTTGGGAGGATGTCTCAGGCGAAACCGCCATTCTCTGAGAATCGGGGTCAACATCATTGAACTTACAATGTGTTTTTGAAGGTTTTGTGTTAGAATGTTGAAATTCCCATGTGTTGTTGGATCCTGACGTCACGATCTGCGTGAGGGGTGCCACCGATTTTCAGAACTTCGAGGATGTCCCTAGCGAAACGGCTAGAAAAATCGCGGACGCCGCCTTCAATAACCGGCTCTGAGCTCTACTCCTCCAGAGAGGTGCGTATGAGAATATATATATATATATATATATATATATATATATATATATATATATAGACAAGTGGCACGTGTGTGCCCAGGCTCATACAAACAAATTGAAGGGGCGTTTGAAGCAGGAGTGAAATGCAACAGCGAAGTCGCGCTCGAGCGCAAATGGGGTTGCCACACCTTGCGATGTGTGTACCAGGGCCCCCCAGGAAGCCTCATGAGGCCCGTCTTGGATACCAGAAGAGGCTCCAGGAGGCCCCAGGATTGTGAGTGTTGTGTGTGTGTGTGTATGTGTGTGTGTGTGAATGTGTGTGTGTGCGTGTGTGTGTGTGTGTGCGATGTGTGCTCTGTGTTGTGCGTGTTTTCTTTGCCTTGGAGGTGTTGTGTGTGTTATGCTTGTCTAGCGTGTGGTGTGTTGGGCGTGATGTGTGTCTCTGTGTGTGTGTGCATGTAGTTCTGAGGCTCCAGGAGGCCCCAGGCGGCCCCAGGCGGCCCCAGGAGACCCCATGAGGCTTCAGGAGGCCCCAAGAGGCTCCAGGAGGCCGCAGGAGGCCCCAGGAGGCCCCAGGAGGTTTCTGGAGACCCCCAGGAGGCTCCGAGGCGGGGTCTGGGGTACCAGAAGGTTCAGAAAGTCCCAATTGGCCCCAGGAGGTTCCAGGAGGCTCCCAAGAGGCTCCGAGGCGAGGTCTGGGGTACCAGAGGGTACGTCGGGGCTCGATTTTGGGAGGATGTCTCAGGCGAAACCGCCATTCTCTGAGAATCGGGGTCGAAATTATTGAACTTACAATGTGTTTTTGAAGGTTTTGTGTTAGAATGTTGAAATTCTCATTTGTTTTTGGACCCTGACATCACGATCTGCGTGAGGGGTGCCACCGATGTTCAGAATGTCGAGGATGTCCCTAGCGAAACGGCCAGAACAATCGCGGACGCGGCGCCCCGCGTACGCATTAATCGCCTCTGAGCTCTACTCCGTCGGAGAGGTGCGTATGAGAATACAGATCAATATATATATATATATATATATATATATATATATATATATATATATAGATATATATATATATATATATATATTGTCATCTTGGGCTAGTTTGTGCGATCTCGCGTGGGCCGTCTTGCACGCTCCAGCCCCTATCGGAACGCCCCTTCCAGACCCAGGGAGGGGGTGTGGGGAGGAGGTGGACCTCTCCCCACAAGTTACAGGATGTTGGAAGACTTACCTCCCTAGACCAGCTACGCCAAGAGGGCAGGTCGAATTTATCATCTGATCGTCGGGCCGTTGAGTTCTCTCCTTCGTCAGGTCTTGCCCTTGTGGAAACAACCACAAGACACATCTTCTGCCCCGCTCGAAAAGACAGGGTTTTCGGTCATAGGGGAGGGGTGGAATGAGGGAGCAGCGAGTAGGAGACAGCGGAAGAGAGCGGACCCAGACACTCGACGTCATGTGGTGTTGGCCCCCACCGACCCCTTCCCCTGGACTAGTTTTTTATCCCGCGTCCGTCGCCACGGTGGCCCGAAACGGGCCTGCCAGTGAAGAATTGGAAACGGGGGCGCGGCGCATACACCGATCCAACGCCAAGGGTGGGCCTGGCCAGGATCGGTGTTGCTGTGCGCTTCACGCTTCCGAGGCGCATCGAGGCGCAGAACGGTAGCGGCGGGAGGCAGAGGGGGCGCGGGGGAGGGGAGACCGCGCTCAGAACATGCAGTCCCTATACGCGAGTGCAGCGAAGGTACGGGCGTGCACAGCGCGATGTGGAAGCCCTTGAAGGAGCACAGCGACGGTCCAGATCATCTCCCCAATCGCCCCCTCACCGGCAACGAGAGGGGATCCAGGGTCTAGGCTCAGTAGGAGGGGGCGTTCCGACCCGCAGTCGCCAGGAGCGTGCAGTTTCGCTGCCGGGGGCCTATCCCATCGGGGATGTATCGCCGATTCCAGGTTGATGCTTCCCCCCCTGAGTTGGTCCGCCCCGCTTACCGTTACCTCTCGTCTTCCTCCTCCCCAGACCCCCTCGCGTCGTGAAGCGCCTTGACGGAAGGTTTTGGCGCATCCTCGGCCTCGGGGAGGCCCCTCCCTGGCCCAAGGACAGTCGTGGGTTTACGTTGCATCTTCGGGTGACCTCGCCTGTCCCCAAACTTCGTGTCTTCTCTTGTGCCCGACGCGGGCTCGATGTGGACTCGACGCGGAGCTGGCGTGGATTCGAATTGACTGCGACACTGATTCGACACGGATCCGACGAGTCCGACATGGATTCGGCGCCGATTCGACGCGGATTAGGGCCGAGAGGGGACAGGCAATGCCCCCCGAGGATGCAACTTTAGAGGGGTCGGCCCGGGGTGAGAGCGAGCGGGCTTGCTGCCGCCGCCCCGGGCGTGACGCCCTCGCGCCGCCGCTCCGCGGGCTCGGCGCGGCAGGGGCGCGCCGCGCCGCGAGGGCGCCGCGCGGCGGGAAGAGGGGCGGAGGCGGGGAGGGGGCAGGAGGGGGGAGCCGCCTCGCCCCCGACCCCACTCCCCAGGTCCCCCCCCCCCCTGCCCCTTCCTCGTCCTCGCTCCTCCTCCGGCCTCGCGCCCCCCGCGGGCGCCGGCCCCGAGAGAGCCCCGAGCCAGGAAGCGTGCGCGTGGGCAGGAAGTCCCACAAGCTCGCGAAGGAGCGGCTGCGCTGCCGCCGCCGGGTCGTCGTCGTCGTCGTCGTCGTCGTCGTCGTCGTCGTCGTCGTCTTCGTCGTCGTCGTTTTCGTCGTCGTCGTTTTCGTCGTCGTCGTCGTCGTCTCACCCCTCACTCCCCTCCCCCATGCCGGACCACGGCATCGCATGCCTTCCCGTGCCGCTGGATCCTGTCGTTCTCTGTCCCGGGCCGCTTCCTGTGTGCATGGTGATCGGCAGAGACTCCTTCTTGGCGTGGGATCTCTGGCTGCTGATGCCAAAACTAATGTCCTTCCCTTCGCGCTGCCGCGCGCGGGCAGTGGGAGGGGTAGTGGCATGCGGAAGCAAATCATGGGAGCCTTGTGTACGCTTGCAATTCCATCTTCAGCATGCGTCAGCGTCGATCAGCGTCTGGCAATCGATGACAGCGCTGGTTCAGCGTCGATAAACCCAATAAGCATAGACTAGCGCCGATTTAGTGTCGAGAAGCGTCGATTCGCAAGAGCCAGCACGATGGTATGGGAGGTCCCATGAGTTGCCACCGAAGCAGGAGCACAGCAGAGCAGGACACATTTCCAGATGAAGCGCAGCAGGCTATCGGGCAATTGCTGGAGGCCAACATTGAAAGAGGACGGGCCTGGGGCTCGTGAGCCGCTTCATTGGATGCGAGCGTCTGTTTGGGCCCTGCAGGGACACATCTCTGGCATGAACGATGTAACCAGCTCTCAAGCTGTGATTGCGCAAGTGTTCCCTCTGCCTGGCTCTATAACGCGTCGAATGACTACTAGATTCGAGCCTCGGCGGCTTGAGCCAAATCTAGAAGTCATGCGACATGTTCTTGCGCCATCACAGCTTGAGAGTTCTTTGGTTTCATCGTGACCCTCTCGTCTGAACCCGGGGGGGACCCGCCCAGGCACTCCTCCGCCTAGGGTTGGCAGGAGGAGGAGAACAGGTGGGCAGGAGGAGGAGGAGGCGAAGGCGGAGGAGAGGGTTCTCCATTGGCCGGGGCCTGGCTATGCTGTCGCCCGCGCGTGCGCGGGCACTACCTGACGCCACGGGCGTGGTGCTCGTCGAGCGGCTTGCCCACGAAAGGGCGGGGAGAAGGGAGGAGGCGGGCGAACTCCTCCCCATCCCTCCTCCCGGCAAGGGCTTCCGCCTCAGCGTGGACGAGCGTTTCTTCGAGGTCGCGGCCGAGATACGGCGCCACACCTTCACGGAGGAGCCGGGCGACAATTGGTTGTCCGAGGCCGCGATGGCTGCTCCTTTGCTGCGCGCCCGCTGCACGCAGTGCTTTCCGAGTTCGTCCTCCTCGCCCTCCCAGTCTCGCATGCGATGTATCGCCCCCGATCCCAGGGATCCTCACGAAGAACAATTGGTCATCAAGGAACAAGGGGAAACTCAGGGAGACACACCCAGGGGTGGGGGCAATTCGGACGGACCTCTATCGAGGATGGACGCCCCCAATCGTATATCCCGAGTTGGGCCCGATGTTCGCGGTCCAGTTGAAAAAAAAACAAAGTCGGGGATCGGTATCGCCTTACCCCCGGTCAGTATCTCTCTTTCCCAGCTCGCTCCTCTTTCTCTTCCTCCTGTTATTCCTACCTCTCCTCTCACCCCGGAGCCCTTGGCAGGGCCTCCAAGTTGTCAAGAACGCTCAGAAGCCGTTGTCCCCGCCCTCGCCGTCCACATCCACAGCGCCCCAAGCGCCGACCATCTGACCTGCCCAGGGGTGCGTTTTGACCAGCATTTCGAGGCGACCCCAACCATGGCGACGGGGCCCGCCGGAGAAGGCGAGAAGGCCCTCCGAACGTATGCCGTTGACCTCAGAATCGACTTTGGGCGGATGTCGTCATCGTCGTTGCCGTTGCCGTCATCGTCGCCCTCGCTGCCGCTGCCGCTGGCGGGTTTCGCCGGAGGCGACAAGGACGACGGCCACGACGACGCGACGACTACGTCGACGACGTCGACGCGATGACGTCGAGGACGTCGACGGCTTCGATCGTCGTGGTTGTCGTTCTTTTGTCGTCGCCGCCGCCCGCTGCAGGCGCTCGCCGGGATGTACGTGGCGGTGAACTCGCTGCCAGACTCTGCCCGGAGGCGCTGCGTTCTGGGAAAGGGGGGATGGGCGCACGGCATAGGGGCCAGCGCCAATCCGAGGCTGGAATTTCTACATGACCACCGCCTGGAGGATCAATTTTCGGGGACCTCGGCAGTCGGTGGATGTGGACATTTTCGGGCCCCCAGGGGCCAAACTATATCAACATCCACCGCCCGCTGGGGCACCAGGACGTCGGTTCCCAGGCGGTGGATATGGATATCAGAGTGAGGGGGCTGAACCGAACGGTCATTCACTGTCCCTGGGTGCGTGGCTGAAGTGGAATTCCGCGATGCGGATTATTGTTGTTGTGTGTTGTTTCTTGTTTCTTGTTTCTTGTCTGTTGTTATCGTCGTCCGACCCGCGACCCGCCCCGCGACTCACCCGCGACCCACCCCGCGACGCACCCCGCGACCCACCCCGCGACCCACCCGCGACCCACCCGCGACGCACCCCGCGACCCACCCGCGACCCACCTCGCGACCCACCCGCGACCCACCCCGCGACCCACCCGCGACCCACCCGCGACCCACCCGCGACCCACCCCGCTACCCACCCGCGACCCACCCCGCGACCCACCCCGCGACCCACCCGCGACCCACCCGCGACCCACCCGCGACGCACCCGCGACCCACCCCGCGACCCACCCGCGACCCACCCGCGACCCAGCGACCCACCGCGACCCACCCGCGACCCACCCGCGACCCACCCCGCGACGCACCCAAAATTTTCGGCGCCTGCGGTGTTTTTTTTTTGCATTCGTTCCAGGTGGAGAACCTGCGACCCACCCGCGACCCAAACCGCGCCCGCGACCCACCCGCGACCCACCGCGACCCACCCGCCCACCCGCGACCCACCCCGCGACCCACCAAAATTTTCGGCGCCTGCGGCGGGCTTCTTTCGCATTCGTTCCAGGTGAAAAACCTGCGATCCACCTCGCGACCCACCCGCGACCCAATCTACGTTCATTGAACAAGCCAAAAATTCGGCGCCTGCGGCGGGTTTCTTTTGCATTCGTTCCAGGTGGAGAACTTGCTACCCAAACCGCGTTCAGTGTACAAATCAAAATTTTCGGCGCCTGCGGCGGGTTGTTTTTGATTTCTTCCAGGTGGAGGTGGAGAGCCTGCGACCCACCCGCGACCCAAACTACGTTCACTATCAAACCAAAAATTCGGCGCCTGCGGCGGGCTGTTTTTGCATTCCTTCCGGGTGGCCCACCAGCGATCCCCCCCGCGCTGAATTTGTCAGAGCACGCAAATCGACTGGGAAGGTGAGGCCCACGAGGTCCGCCATCTCGACGCCCGCGTCGCCCGCGCCCGCTATCCGCAATTGCGGGGTGCTACGTATTCCCGCCTCGCAGCCAAGGAACCGTGCTCCATCCTCGTCGCCGGTGCAAGTTGTAAAGACAGATGTGCGCGGCGCCTTGGCGAGACCCGCATAAAAACAATCCGGCTTGCTCCGTTTCGTAAGGGTTGCAAGCTTTGATGGCGAAAATGCGCGGCACCGCCAAGGCGAACTAGTGTTGGATTTGTTGGGGCATGTAGGCGGATTCCGACAAAGACGGGCCCTTCATCCGTGTAATTATCAGTTGAGTGTTTTCAGGTTCATGGACGCAGGTTCGAAGGAAGTCTCAAGCGACATGCCTGGCCCTGCGTACTCGCCCGTCTGGAGGTGCGACAGAAGGAAGAGGGATGCAGACGCCGACGACGACGACGGCGGCGACGACATCCGCCTGGCGAAAGGTTCTACGCTTGCGCTTGGTACCTGGAGGCCTGGGCATCCGCCAGATACCCAGGCCTCCGCCCGGCGCAAGGGCGCGTGCTCTCCAGATCACCCGCGGGTTTTTTTCGCGGTCTGTCCGAGGCGGGGAGTTATCCATAACGACCGCTTAGGGGATCCATCTCCGGGGACCTCGGCAGGCGATGGATAGTTTGGCCCCCTGGGCCGAAGTAAGTCGGGTTTTCTGCTCTGCAACTTTCCAACACCGGCGACGGCGGCAGCGGCTTCTGCGGAGGCGGTCGCATGGTCTCGGCGCATGCACCGCACCGTCGGGCTAGCCAGTGAGCCAAGCTCACCTGCCTCGTCGCGTCGGCGTATACACCGTCTCGTTGCGTCGGCGTAACTATACACCGCCTTGTCGCGTCGGCGTATACACCGCGTCGCCGGCTCGGCGTGTACACCTCGTCGTTGAGTCGGAACTCGGCGAGGAAGTTCGGTGCATGTGCGCTCTGAGCGCCTCGCAGCTCGGGAAGCCGAGGCGGCTCCTCACACCGAGGCGGCCTTCGTTCGCGGCGGCGGCGGCCTCGGCGGCGACGTCGGCTTCCTCCCCGTGGCGGCCTGAGCCAGTGCGGCCAACCTTCCCAAGGGGGCGGCCCGAGGGGGCGGAGGTGATCGCGCGCCGCGCCTCGCGGAGCGCGACCCGCGAGGTTAGGTAGCATGATTACTTTGGATTCCATGATTAAGTGTGGGGGGGTCACCTTTGGGGGGGGAGGGGTCTGATTTGAGCTGTCTTGGAGGGCTCGAGGAAGTCTGGGCACGAGGCCGCCCTCTCACTCCTGGTCGGGGGGGGTCCACACTTGCTCGTCTGGGAGGGTTGTGACCCCTCCTTCTTACGGGAGGTTCGTGCGGCGATGGCGAGCCAGCGACGCCGTCAAGGGCGTTCAAGGTTGAGCTCTGCATACTAGGGCTTTGCGTAAGCATCGAGGGGCGCGGTAACGTCACAGGACCCGACGGAATTCAACCCTGAACGATCGGGGCCGCGATCGATTCGAGGTCAAACGATCGAGGCGGTGTCACCAGCCTTTGAGCGCGCGGGCGCCGGCGCCGTACGAACCCACCGTTGGTTACCCACACTCAAGCCGTGTTGAAGCGTCCTGGCTCGCCTATAGTCCTACCAAACAGTGTTCTAAGAACCTTTTCTCGTTCCCACGAACTGTTCTTAGAACAATTCTGGTTGGGACTGCCTTGTTTTATCAGATCGGGCTTATGTTCTGAGAACATTGCTTTTGTTCTTAGAACATGCTCTGGGGTTCTGAGAATATTTTGTGGTAGGACTATAGGAACGCCGGGACGGTCGGTCCCTGCTTAACACACGGCGACCTCTGAGGGCGGCGGCGGCGGCGGCCTCGGCGGCCTCCGTGCCTCGGCGGGAGGGGCGTGCGCTTTCACTCGGTGGAGCTGTGGCACCTGCAGAGCGGGCGCCTCGCCGCGGGGGAGGCCCCGGGCGCGCGCGACCGCGCTCGACGTCGATGCCTGGGCATCGCGTAGTGTTAGATCGGGCCTGTCCCTCTACAGGAGGAAGTTCGGATGCAACTCCTGGGAGGTCAAATTCGGATTTTGCCCTGGTCCGAAGTCCGGCTTAATCCCGCTTAATCCGGCTTAATCCCGCTTAATCTGGCTTAATCGCGTTTAAGATTCCGAGGCCTTTTTCTGGCGTAACAGCCCCGCAACGGGGCTTAATCCTCCTTGATCTTTCCGACGAAGACCTCCCAGCAGTTGCCTCCTGAAGGAAGGTTCAACAACACTCACCAAGTAGCCTGGTGACGATTGTTCGTGCACGTGGAGGGGCAGCGAGGGCTGCAGAAAATGAGTCCTGAAGGGACAAAAAAAGACCTTTTAGACACCGAGAAGTGCACCTTTCGTCCCCACTCATTTCTTGCCCCCCTTCCGCGCGCGACGCCCTCTGCCGGCAGCCGCGCTCGACGGCGATGTTCGTCAAATCTCGTCGCCGTCGAAGTCGTCGTCCTGGGCGGGTCGACATCGTCCTCGTCACAGGCCGTCGTCGACGTCTTCGTCGTCGTAGTAGATAGTCGTCGACGGCGTCGCAAGTCGTCCGCGACGACGACGTCGTGGGCCGTCGCCGTCGCCGTCGTGGCCCCCCGCCGGTGTCTGCTGCGGCAAGGGCGGCGGGCGGCGACGTTGGACGGCGACGTTCGTCGTCCTTGAGGCCCCCTCGCGCTGAGGCCCCTACAGTGGGAGCGCGCATCAAGAAACCATATGCTTTTCGTCAGGGTACCCTGGTCTTCTCCGCTCCGCGCGCTGCGCGGTGACTTCTCGGAGCCGTTGAAAAAGCTGCTGCGTTCAGGGCGCTCCAGGTTTCCCCTCGGGTGCACCTCGCGCGCGGGTGTTCAGGGCTGGGTTTCTTGCGAGGGTCTCTTGCAGCCGCGCCCGCACAGTCAGGCCTCCCTACTTCAGAGCGTGAATTACCTACCACGCTTTCGCTTCCAGGCAATACCCAGGTCATACCACGCGCCTCCCCGTCGAGCGGCATTACCAGTGCGGGCCGTAATTTGGCATCGCTCGGTAGCTCTTGGAAGCGAGGGTGGTCAAAAGCGAGGTAGGTTCGTTTGCCCCCTACCAATTCAGGGGCAACGTCACCGGGGGGCTCGAAGGGGGGGACGCATCGGCCACTGATCGCCTCGCGGTCGCCAACATCGGCGGCCCGATGCCCGCGCTGTCCAGGAATGCGCGGCTTCGCTCTCGGTGGTCCGTCGCCGACCTGTCGGCGACGTGTCGCGCCGATTCCAGCTCGACGTGCCCCCCAGGAGCACGTCCCTCCCCCTAGCGTTAAGTCGGGCCTGTCCCTCTACGGGAGGGGAGATTCAAAAATAGTCCGCCTCCGCCTCCGCCTCCGCCTCCGCCCCCGCCTCCGCACCCGCCTCCGCCTCCGCCTCCGCCTCCGCATCCGCATCCGCCTCCTCCTCCTCATCCTCCTCCTCCTCCCCCTCCTCCTCCTCCTCCTCCTCCCTCCCCCTCTTCCTGACGACTCACATTGCGAACAGGAAGGTTAGCGTGACCTAACCTCACCTGATCCTACACCCGCCTCACGTCAAACCTGCGAGGCCTCAGTTGCCTGGGTGGGATCAAAGGGCCGCACCTCAGCGGCGATCCACTTCCCTCTTCACATCACACGGCCCTTCTCGGGGACGATTTGTTGGGTTTTGTTTTGCCATGTGTGTTTTGTAGTATTTTCAATTTTTCGCTCAAAATCTCCTGCAGGAGGACACGCCCGACCTACTAGCGTTGCCCCCCATGGGCCCCAGGGCCGCCAGCGCGCTCTGGGCAGGGGGTCAAGGCATCCTGGGGTCCGAGCTGCGGACAAAAGCACGACGCCGGGGAGCTGGGTGGACGCACTGGCCTTGGCATCGCTCGGACGTGTGCATTTTTCTGACGAGGACCATCGAGGGTCATCGCGGATCCCCTTGCGAAGCATGCGCGCGCGAAATCGACACATGCACAGGGAATGGACGTCCCAGCGATGGCGAGCTGGCAGTGCTCAGGGAAGCGGCCGGGAAAGGGCGGACGGACATTCTGGGCCCAACGAGTAGGTACCCACCCACCATGTGGCGGTGAGTCGTTCGACGGCGACGTCGCCGCCGTCGTCGTCTCCGGCGTCGTCTTCGGCGTCGTCGCCGCCGTCGTCGGCGCCCCCGCTGGCGGCCGCGGCGGCGAGGGCCACGACGAAGAAAGCGACGACGACGACGGCGACGAAGTTTTCGGCATTTGGTTTTTGGCACTTGGTGATGCCTCCTTAGGCGCACACATCGCAACGGCCGGGTTCGCTTCAGAGGGCACCCCTCGACGGGTCCAGGGGTCGGTTGTGGCGAGGGAGGCGTCGCCGTCGTCGACGACGACGACGACGGACATGACGAACAATGCGACGACGAGCTCGGCGATAGACGTTACTACCTTCCTACTGCTGATGTTGTCCTCAGTTTGGGCCTGGACGACGAGGACCATCACGAGCATTGTTTGTTTGTCATGTGTGCTGCTGGCTTCCTCAGTTTCGACATGCGGGATGTTTGTTCTGTGTTGAAAAGTCGCGGTGTTGGAGGTTGAGGGATGGGACCGTAGATGGACAAAAAACGTGGAACCCTTTGATCTGTTCCCCCCTTCCCCCCCTCTATTCAAAGTTGACCCTGGGCATTCGGGAGCTCATGCTCGGAAGTGCAAAAAGTGGAACCCAGAGGGCCTCCAGTAGGACGGACGCCAACTTTGAGTCGGGGCGGAAGGGGGGGCGAACACGGGGTCGAAAACGTAGGGGCTCCACTTGTTTGTCCCCTTACTGGAGGAGGGGAGGAGGAGAGGAGTGGTGAGGGGAGGAGGGCAGGAGGTAGGAGGGGAGGAGGGGAGGAGGGGAGAATCGAACGAGTCAGGGTTTAGAAGGTCGGGGAATGGGAGGAGGAGGAGGAGGAGGAGGAGGAGGAGGAGGAGGAGGGGCGATCCACGCTGCGATCTGGCTGTCATGCCCGGCCACGACACCACTTCGACCATGGGTCGTGCTCGTTCATTTGGCCGCCCCTCTCTGGATCCCGAACCTCCCGCTCTGCCGTTTCCTTCCTCCATTGTCCACGTCTCGCCTGCCCTCGTCCTCCTCCAGAGCGTGGAGGGATGATGTCATGGGCAAAGTAGGGGGGACAGGCTCAGGCAGGGATGCAACGACCCCCACCGGCCCATGGATCGCCGACAGTGGTCCGATAGCTCACCCCGCCCAATAAAATGCAGTGTGGCTATCGGGGGCCTATCGCCGAACTATCGGTGATGCATCGGCGATTCCAGATGTTTCCCCACCTGGGACGGTCCCCCCCTCCCTAGACGTTCTTTCCAGGAGGGACGGGGCTGGAGAAGGAGGTAAGCCAGCAGCAGCAGGAGGCTACGGGAGGAGCACTTGCAGGGGCAGGGGATGCAGGAGGAGCAGGAGGAGGGTCATGAGGAGTAGAAGGAGCAGGAGAAAGGCATGACGAGGATGAGCTGCAGCATCGGCATCAGCAGAAGGGCGATTCGACTCAGCAGAGCTCCTCAGGGGCGACTTGTCTCACACACCTCGCCCCCTTCACTTCGACCTCGTCATCTTCATCATTCTCTTGCTCACGTCTCCTAGTCACCATTCGCGCGCTGCTCCTTTCCGTCTGCGTCCCGTGGCAGTGAGAGGTTGGGTACACTGTTGGCCAAATCTACACCTCGTGCACTGGCTTCGCCTTGAAGCAGGAGTGCCAGGGGGGATGGGAGGAGGAATGGGAAGGAGGAGGGATGAGAAAGGATGACATGGGAGGAAGGCCTGAGGGAGGAGGGATGTCGTAATGGAGAAAATAGGCCCTGAGCGAACGGACGGGGTCCTAACATTGCTCTTTGGCTTTTACCTTCCCGCATCCCTTCTGGTCCCGAGATTGGCTCAAAAAACGACCCCGGACGGAAACACCACGTCCGGGGGAAGCCTTCAGGTCCATGGCATCCAGACTCGCGATGCCGTTTTTGTTCGTGCGAAAGCCCTCAGAAGCCGCACGTACATGAAGCACAAGTCCGACGACGGGATTTCTGACCCTGCTCGCAGACATGGCTCAAGTGTTGCATGACCGCCAAAGAGACCCGAAGCCATCGCGTAGGTGGTTTCCCACAGCGTTCCCGGTTCCAGGGTTCGATATCATTCCTTTCAACATGCAGATTCTTGAGCCAGCGCATCGGTGCGGGCACAGAGGAATGACAGGTGCTTCCAGACTCGCCAGGGTTTTGTCAGTTATGTCAGTCCAGATCACCAAGCTCGTGTCTGCGTCACCGTACATGTTTATATTTATTTCCGTTCCCCTCCACGCCAGTCCGTCGAGTGGCGCATGATCCACCGTTGCGAGATTGTGTCCAAAAATGTTCCAGATAATGTCGCCACAGTTGCACAACCACTGCGTGGACTTGTGCCAGACTGTCCTGGGTTCGAGTGTCGAACGGATTGCGAATATTCAAGCAGCCTCTTGCGGGTATCGAACATTGACTATCTGTTGTGCGCGGCGCTGCGGCTGTTGCGACGACTTCGCCAACCTCATTCCCGACTGTTTCGTCGACTCCCAGACCCCAGGGCCTCCTACGATCCGACTCGATGCGATTCGATTCGCCCGCGTACGTCGATTGGCGTCGGCGGGCACTGCACGCGCACGTGCGCGCGAGCGCCCTTGTTAGCACGGGCTTCCCGCAGGGCATCACACGCAACATTGCCGATATCGGCATCCGATGTTTTCTCGAGTCGTCGCTGGACTCGGCCTGGAATATTGGCAGCATCGATGCCATCTCGCCAGGTCGGTTGACGAAGACGTAAGGCTGAAAAAGTTCAGATCGTCGAGTATCGATGTCGTTACCCGGTTACGATGAAGCGGCAGCGCAGTTCGTCATGGAGCATCGGTTCCGATGTTTCAAATGATGGAGCACATTTCGTCATCTGCCCCTCTTCTTCCCTCTCCCCTCGTCCATCTTCCTTCTCTCCCTTTGATCCTCCTCGCCTTGTCTTCTCATCGTCCACTCCCTAGTCTTCTCCGTGTCGCTTCATCTTCACGTGCCTCCTGATCTTCGTTCTCCTTCCGTCCATCCCATCCTTCATTCCCTCGCTCTTGTCGTGCATGTCATCGTCGTCGCCTTTATCCTAGTCCGTCTTCTCGGCCCTCTCCATTCTTCCACGCCGCTACTTCCTCCTCATAACCGCATGCCCCGAATAATAAAGCATACCTCACCCCCTTTCCACCGACCCTCATGAGACAGTTGTGGTCAGCGGTTGGGAGCGGCGGGGCCGAACTTCATTGTCGCCAGGGTCTGTATACATCGCAGACCGAATATTAGTATCAGGGTTACCATTAGCATCATCATCATCGTCATCATCACCATCATCATCATAATCACCATCAGCATCATCATCAATCATCATCATACTCATGGTTATCATTACGTTTCCCTCATCATCGTCGCTATAGCATTGTATTGCTTAGGATTCCTGCTCCTCCCACTCATCCAGGGATGCCCCGCCTGAGCGAGCAGGGCATCGCTGTACCGTAATATGTCTTAGGATTCATGCTCCTCTCACCCCTCCAGGCAGGCCCCGCCTGAGCGAGCACGTTATCGCTATACTATAGCTACTCCTCCCACCCATCCAGGGAGGCACCGCAAGGGCGAGCACGGCATCGCTGTATCATGAGAGATTCGGTGCATCCGTACACTCCGAAAGATTCCGTTCGCTGCTCCTCATCTTGTTTTGTTATGGTGCGAGTTGCCGGGGACAGTTTTTTTGATCCCTCCAGAGTCCCGACCCCCATTCCTTCCCAGAGATCCGATGCCTTGATTTGTTTCGATACGGGCTCCCCGGAAGTCCCGACCCTCTCCCCAGGGCCAGCTCTTCATCCTGAGTCGTTTGTTGACCGTCCCTGTGCCCTGCGAGAGGTAGAAGAGGCCGAACACAGCCAAACACCGCGTCTTACTGTATTCAATGCGCTGGAGGTCTGGGTCCTCGTCATACTCATCTTCGTCTTCTTCCTCGCTCACTCAGGGGCAACACTAGCTATGGGGGATAAGCTCAGCGAGGGTTGCGTCGACCCCTATTCGACCATTGGTCGCCGGTACTGGCCGGGTAGCCCACCCTGCCCAGAAGCATCCAGTTTCGCTATGGAGTTCCCCCCTTGAGCTGTTGATAGTGATTTTTATGAATGGATATATATATATATATATCGGAGGTGAGGGGGTGAGATCGAAGTGGAACGGAGAGCCCCCCTACCAGGAAATCGATTTCGGTTTCGTGTTCGTGCGTGCCGTGCGTGCGGGCGAGGCGAAGCTGCGTGGGCGGGCGAGAAGAAAGTCTCCTGTGGCTGAGGCGCGGCCGGACCAAATGTCTCCCTTCCGGGCGGCCGGGGGCCCGCGGTGTCCCGCCGGTGTCCCGCTGGTGTCCCGTGTGGCTGAGGCGCGGCCGGACCAAATGTCTCCCTTCCGGGCGGCCGGGGCCCCGCGGTGTCCCGCCGGTGTCCCGTCGGTGTCCCGTCGGTGATGATGATGATGATGATGATGATGATGATGACGATGATGATGATGATGTTGACAACGATGATGATGATGGTGATGATGATGGTGGTGATGATGGTGAGTTCGGTAGTGAGATCGATAGTGAGACCGAATGTGAGATCGATTGTGAGATCGATTGTGATATCGATAGTGAGGTCGATAGTGAGACCCAATGTGAGATCGATAGTGAGATCGATAGTGAGTTCGATAGTGAGATCGATAGTGAGACCGAATGTGAGATCGATTGTGATATTGATTTTGATATCGATAGTGAGATCGATAGTGAGATCGAACGAGAGGTCGATCATGACTTCGATAGTGAGTTCGATAGTGAGATCAATAGTCAGATCGATTGTGAGATCGATTGTGGGATCGATTGTGATATCGATAGTGAGATCGATAGTGAGACCGAATGTGAGATCGATTGTGAGATCGATTGTGAGATCGATCGAATGAGATCGATAGTGATATCGGTAGTGAGATCGATCGTGAGACCGAATGTGAGGTCGATCGTGAGATCGATAGCCAGATCGATTGTGAGATCTAGTGTGAGATCGATTGTGATATCAATAGTGAGATCGTTAGTGAGATCGAGTGTGAGATCGATCGCCAGATCGATTGTGAGATTGATCGAATGAGATCGATAATGAGATCGATAGCGAGATCGATAGTGAGATCGATCGAGTGCGACGGTGGTCCCCCCCCTCGCCTCCCTATCACCCGAAGGGTGGTCTATGCGGTATATATATATATATATATATATCTCGGAGTAGGGCCCCAGGGCGGTGCCTGTCGTCTCCATGGGGTGTGCAGGGCGCTCCCGGGAGCGTCCGAAGCGTCCCGGAGGGCCCCTAGGACCGCCAGGAACAGTTCGAGACCGCCCAAGACGGCCCGCGAGCGCTCCAAGACGCGCATATATAGCCTCAGGAATGGCCAGGAAGGCCCGAAGACGTTCCAAGAGAGCTCCATGAGGCCGAAGGCATCCCAAGAGGCCTCCCAAGAGAGCCCCGACAAGCCAAAATCGTTGATTTGTATTGTTTTTTCTAAGTTTTTGGCCTTATCGCTTTTTCGGGGCTCCGACGCTCCAAGGCCGCCCAAGAGTCTCCCGAAACCGCTTCAAGACGGCCGAAGAGGCCCCCAAGACCGCCCCAAGACGGCCCAAGAGACCCCCAAAATCGTCCCAAGACGGCCCAGGAGAGCCCCAAGATGGCCCAGGAGCCGCCCAAGACGGTTCCAGGAATGCCCCGACAGGGCTTCAAGACTGCCTAAGCGAGCCCAGCGGTCCCCAAGAGGGCGCAACGAGGCCCCAAGAGGCCCCAAAGAGGCCCCCAAGAGCCTCCCCGAAGGCCCCCAGAAGCCCCCAAGATGCCCAACAATGGCCCTGAGCGCGCCCCAAGACGTTTCCAGGAGAGCCCCACAGGCCTCCGAGAGGCCCCCAAGAGGCCCACTGGAGGCCCTCAGAAGGTCGTCCCCGTCATGTTCACGGAAGGCGGTCCGGGAACATGATTCCGCGCCTTGGAGGAGTATTCTGCGCTTTCCGAGGCGCCTTCCGAGGCGCCTTGGACGACGTACGTATGTTTCTATAGCTTGTCCTTCTCCTGTGTACACAATCCTACATGTCTGACGCATGGGTCTATACATATATATATATATATGTGTGTGTGTGTGTGTGTACGCACACATATATATATATATATATATATGTGTGTGTGTGTGTATGTGTATTTATATACACATCCCCCAAGCCCTCCCGAGCGGTGCCACTTCCTTCCACGTTCTTCAAATTCTTCCCCATATATAGAGGCCCCCAAGATGCCCAACAATGGCCCTGAGCGCGCCCCAAGACGCCTCCAGGAGAGCCCAACACACCTCCGAGAGGCCCCCAAGAGGCCCACTGGAGGCCCTCAGGAGGTCGTCCCCATCATGTTCCCGGAAGGCGGTCCGTGAACATGATTCCGCGCCTTGGAGGAGTATTCTGCGCTTTCCGAGGCGCCTTCCGAGGCGCCTTGGACGACGTACGTATGTTTCTATAGCTTGTCCTTCTCCTGTGTATAGCTGGTCCTTCTCCTGTGTACACAATCCTACATGTCTTACGTATGCTTCCATACATATATAAATATATATATATATGTGATATATATATATATATATATATATATATATATATTCATATATA